GTGTTCCGGGCATTTACCTGGTCGTACCCTCTGATGCCTGATTACACATTCATTGTCACGGGAGGGTCATCAAAGTTAAATAATTGAAGTGCCATATTCTATTAAGATCATTAAGTATTCCCATAAATTTCCATCCTCTAAAGCCTACGCCATTGCTCCTGTCTGTCGTCGTACGCATACTATTTACCATTAGATTATCATCCCCTCAATTTTTTCCGTCTCGCCCTCACATCCTTTCACGAGCAGCTCTTTTCTCGGCGCAGCTTCTTTTTTCTTTTTCCATTCACGTATATATCCGGTATCTCTCGGTAATGGAAACACGTAACGGCTAGCAACGAGCAAACCAATTATTTCAGCCATGATGATCGATTCGCGCCCGTCATTTCGGGCAGAGTCATTAACGGACGCTCTTTCACGCGAGCGTTCGTTAACATCGACTGCTCTGGTAATAACGCGATAATGATATTCCAGTCGGGGGTGTACGCGTCCCTTATCGATCGATACTTTTCTCCTTTGACCCGATCCTTGATAAAATAAACGTCGATCATACGTACATTATAATTTGCGCTTCATTATGTGTATACAAGCGTTGTAGAGAGGATAAAAGAGTTAAAAATTAATTACATTGGATTTTTCATACGAAACATCTCCTTGTGTAGTTTAGAATTTAATTGAGATGTTGTTCAAGTTGGAAATTCTATTGTATCATTATGAAATTTTTCTTTATTATAAAGCGAGCGTACTATTAATCGGTAGGTAAGGCACGTGGATCCATTTATGCAGCACGTGTCCTCTCAAGATTCTACTAAGGGTAGCGTTACATTACCCGATGAATGCACCTCCTCCAGGTAGCTCACCTTCCTACAAAAAACCCGTCCCCTCGATTCAATCCCAAACCTCTAAATACCTTGTACCTACACAATGAAGGGAGAAAAAGGGATGGGAAACAAAAAAAAACCAAGCGACAAAAGTCAGAAAGTTAACCACTGTGTTCCCTCCTTTGAAAGATTGACTCGAACCTTTTTTTTTTTTTAATGTCCTCTGAATAAGAAAAAAGGATAAAAATTGGATTAAAGTTAAACTTTCTGGAAAATTTCGTGAATATACGTGCACATTGGTTGGCCGGTGGATGATGTGGTAAAGGCACGGGGTGAAATTTGGTCGCATTCGCAGGAATCGGAGGGAGGTGGGAACCCTTGGGACGGTTTCCATTTTCAACGTGGCGCCTGCGTTCTCGAGCTCTGCACGGGCTTGCACAACCCTCTCTCTCTTCTACCCTTTTCGTCGAGTTTCTGTCTCTCTTTCTTCTATATTACAGCTTGAATTTCCACCCCTACTCTTTCAACCCTCGAGCAACGCTTGCGCACGTGCACCTCCCCCGCGTCTGGCCATTTTTTTTTTTTTTCTTCTTTTGCTTCTTGTTCCCCTCGAATTCAAACCCCCAACCCTTGCACAACGACGAGAAACTTTGATGAAACACAGCCGAATATACGTATATGTACATTTCTACGTTCAATTTATTAATAGAGGATTTAATGACACTTGTCACAATGTATCTATCGAGGTTTTATATATTTTTACCGACAGATTTATTTTTATTAAAAAAAAGAAAAACCGCTTTCACAGTCGAGACTTTGATCAATATTTTAGAATTTGGTTTAATTATTTGATACAACGTGAATACGAATTTCCATCATGATTTTCATTTATTATTATTGAAAGGATGGTTTTTAAATTTTTTTGGGGGGTAGAAACCATCTGTCTCCGTTGAAAGCAGCAATTAACGCGTTTTTTGTGGTCATCTAATTGCCAGTGCTCGTTTTCCATGAATTTACCCTTTCATCAGGTTCTTCTGACACCTGTACGCAAACCCCGCCCTGTTACATTCTTTTCTTCTTTTAAATCTCTTGTCCTCTTCCCTTGCTTCTTCAACCAACATCCACAAGCTGTTCTTTTCCGACTCTGTTCGTGTCCTTATCCTGTCCTTTCAATTGGTATCGGTGGAGATGCAAAGTCCAGAGGGTCTCCTGAGGGAACAACCATTGTTTACGACCCTTCTGTAGCGCTTGCGTACTTGGCAAACGTCCATGATTTTATTTCTCTTCTCTTTATTTGCTTCTTTTTTGTCCACGTTGTTTCTCATTGTCTTTGATAGCCGGACGATTATAATGTCCAGGGATTTTGGGGAGTACAATGATCCTTTTTTTTTATTCTTCTTCAATGGATACGTTCTATTTTGTATTGACCTGTCGTAATCGTATGTTGTCTGGATATTGTTCGAACGTTTCAATTTATCGTACGTCTTCCACGATTTTCCGACAACTTTAACATTTTCCTTCCTCCTCCGCATTTGTTGCAACCCCTAACATTTAGCGTTCCTCGACGGAGAGCAGGAAATACAGTGATTGTTTTTAACCTTGATTTCGCGCCTGCGCGTTTGCTTCTGGTTCTTCAATTTTCTTACCACTTTTCCATATCCCCAGCCATCTACTACTAACCTAACCTAACCCAACCTATCTCAGGTATCTGAGAATCTCTCAGTGATGTGTACCTATAAAGAGGAGCACAGTCATTGTTCCTAGGCCTGATTCAGCGCCTGCGTATATCAGTTCGTCCCACAACTTTTCTCGTTCCTCATTTCTTACAACTTCAGCCTCGTCTCCCTTTCGCCCCCGGTTCACCGCCGCTCCTATCGTATACACATTATAATCTGAGTAGTAGTGATCCAAAGAGAAGGGTGCATTGCCTCTATCCCAGGCGCTTGCGTACATTCCATCGGTCTCTCCTCCTTTTTCACTTGCTCTTCAACCGCTATCCTCCTAGGTTGACTCCCACCCCTTTCGTGGTCTAACCAGGACTAGTATCAAGAAGGGTGGTGGTGGTTGTCGAACGGGTGCACGGATTGGCGGTGGCGTACAGCTCCGTCAGTTTAGTTACCGCACCACATAAAGGCATTGCGTTGTAGACACCGTTATACCCGCAACATTCTTATACTATTTGCTTCTATATCTTCAGTTTTTAATCCTTTGATTACGCAATACGTTCGTATACATCCAAAACAATTATTACATATATAATAATATACGTTTATTATTGCTTTCTCCCTGACCACGTGTTCAACCGTGTGTGTCTGTGTGTGGTTCACGCACAAACGACCTCGAAGTTAAACAACAACAATAACAACAACAAGAATCATCAGGAACTACAGAAAAAAAAAAAAAAAAAAAAGTTCTTCCACGTGTGTCTTAATCAGAGATCTTATGATTTCGTTCGTCCCTGTTCTTCACCCTTCCTCGATCCTTTTCTCTCACCTTTCAACCCTTCGAAGATCTCCGGGTTCATGCGTACGCGTTGATTTTTCTCGACTCGTTAAAAAATAAAGGGAAAGATTAAATTTAATAATTTCGGTGGGAAAAAGTCAACGAATCGACGTCTGGAAGATTGAAAGAAGAGGAAACACAAGAGAGACGAGAAAGGGAGAGGTAGAAAGAAAGAAAGATAGAAAGAGAGAGTAAATAGTGTCAGACGGTTGGAGTGACAGAGTGACACTATAGGGTGTGTTCCGTCGATATTCTTCGTCGTTTTTTTCTTTTAATTCTTATTTAATTGTTTTTCGTCTTTCCTGTCGTTCAGCCGGAAATCAAGTGTCGCGTAAACGAGTCGTTCGATCGATGAAAGAAACTGTAACTCGTCGTACGAGAAAGTGCAAGAACTTGATTTTTAGTGTTGTTCGGTAAAATAATAAATTAAAAAGGAAACGAAACACGCACACGTTGTTTAAAGAGAAATTAAATGAACGAGTCATCGGAATGAAATAATTCAAAGAAATGAGAAATCTAGAGATACATAGATAACGTAAATAACAAACAGAGAGGGATAATCTATATATTAAATATAATAATAAATGATCGTAACGCAAAAAAATTAAAAAAAAATTAACCCAGACCGTCGTTTCGTTCTACGCCCAGATATCGGCATCCTCCAACCACTGATTTTCATCGTTAACCGGTATGTTCATTTGTTTCTTTACTTTTGTTGCTTCTGTGATTCTGACGTTCGAATTTATTATTATCGTTCTATTATTATCTTGTTATATTAATTGTTGATTAATTAATTATCGTTATAATTGCATACATTACATTATTCTCGATCTCTGTGTACTTACAATCGATCCATGTGTTTTTTGGTAGCGGTTTATATTCGACTGCTGCCGATTCAATTTAAATATATGTTTATTATCCTTTGCCGGAATATCCTCGACACAGGGACCGATCGCAGGATACCATCCCTACGTCATTCACCGTCGTTCTATCCTTCGGTAATCCTCTTTTCGTCGCGTTCTTTTGGCCAGTGAAAACGTTGCGATTTTTATGAAAAATTACATTCTGAATTCTGAGATTAGAAAAATAAATAGAAAAGAATCGCAATTTTATCCATTTAATCGAGGGAATAAAAAAAAAAAAAGGAAGCAAGTGTCAGGGAAACGTGGCTCTGAACAGCAGCTGATGTTTTTCCACGGCGCAGTATCCACGGGCCAGAAGTTTGGGCGTGGCAGTGGAAAGCAACGTGGTGGCCGGTCACGAGAACGCGAACGAGCCAACACCTCTTGTCATTTTCAGTTCAAACTGTTCCTTTTCCTTTTGCGGAGCAACTCAGCGAAAGGTTACGAAAAACGATAACGGAACGTATATTAAAAAAAAGACAGACGAAAGAGTTTAAAGAAAATAATTAAAAAAAAAAAGAAAAGAGAGATATATATTCATATACATATACGTATACATATACGAATCTATCGATCGAATGTTAAAATAAGTTCGGGGTAAAAACAAGACGATGGAAAACGGCGAGAGTGTACACGAAGGATCAAGCAGATCCAGGATGGAGCAACTGGCACTGCGGGTCCTCGTCGAGGACAAGCAGGAAGTCTCGAGAGGGACGCTTCCGTCCGCGATGGCCTCGATCACAATGGTGCGTGAGAGGGATAAAGGGGGTGTTAGATAGTCCATTTTCAAAGACAATAACACACACGGAATTTTTTAAGTATCCCTTCCGTTTCATCGTGTCACCATTTTTTTCGTTTCGTCGAAGGAGAAAGGGATAAACCCTTCCGAGTTAAATCAACGAATAGACAATAATTATCGTTCGTTTTTGCTCAAAGGGTCCATTTCTGTCTTCTTTGACACGCCTCGTGTAAGAATCGAGCTGGAGATGATTTTTAATTACAACACCTTTTAATATTGCTCTCGTGATAAGTGTCCTTAGAGATACGAATTTTATTATTCGTTTCTGTTTTCCTATGAAAATTCCCAGCGGGTCGTTGAAGTATCAAAGATTGACCGAGGGATCGCGAGGCTGGTAGGCGGATGACAGAGCAGAATGAAAGGGAGAAAAGGATAGATATTCAACGAGCAGAAGCGAAAGAGAGAAAGAGTAGGTCTAGTTGGGGAGGCTCGTATTGATCGTTCCTGGGTCCATGTGACGCGCTTGCGTTTCGCCGTGGGGTAAAATCGTGGCGAGGGTAAACTACGGGAGAGAGGGTGGAAAAGAGAGCGAGGGAGACGGAGAGAGATCGGTGTGCCGGGGTTCATATACCCCCAGGGTAACTGCAACGTTCCATCGTGCCACCGACCAATCAATGGAGCTTCTCTACTTCTCTGTCTCTCCCTCTTTTTCCTTCACCCCGTTCATTCGTCATTCTTTTTATTCCTCCTTTCCCGGCTCTTCGTCCATCATCCTGTGGCCACGTAACACGATTGGATCGGCTATTTTGATTTTCGGAGAATCTCAAAAAAATCTAATCACATTTCGTGATCATCGATCTAACCATAAGCAGACGCTTCTTCTTTGTTTTTTTTTCCTCCCCAAGCATTTGTTTACCTTACGTAATCACTCTTTGTGGACTTCGAGGCGAGTCGTAAGGTTTCCTCGGATACTTCGTGATACGATCATTCGAGCCGAGAGGCGATCAGGAATCGGTGAAAATTGGTTGGTTGTTGCGAAACCGCAGGGGAGGAATTAATCGATCGCACCTTAATTAGCGTAACGATTACGTGCTCGCTTGATCGATTCACCAGGTTCTGTTTTCTGTTTCCCTTAGTCGGGGTCGAGTAGCTTTCGTGCAGATGCTCGTTAAAATCCTCGTCATCCCTCTTTCATGTTTCAACGATAATACCAACCCTCTGATGTAGAATACCGCTAGTCTGTTCCAAAAGTAAAACATTTTCTTCATCGTTTATTTTTTATTATGACATTTTCTCTCAGTGTTTCCATGATTTCTCCTTGTTTTTAACGAGTCGAGGGTTCGACGAACCCTGAAGAAACTTTACGGTCGTACGTACATGCGCGTCGATGAACAGAGGTGGGGCCAACCCCCGAAAAACCGAAGCTTCGACAGCTGGATCACGATCATACGAAAGAAGAGGGTTTGCCTTTTCGAATAAGAATGATTCACGATCTATATGCTTCTCCATGATTTCGATTCTGCGTTTAATGGTCGATCATTCTGCTGAAGTTTCATGGGTATTGTTGAGAACGTAGACACCAGATGGGCATTTGGTACGCGAATGAGAAATGATTAGACTGATCTTTCGAGCTAAATCGAAAGAATTTCTTTATGTTCATTGATCAAGGATTTAGTCTTCTATTGTAGCTACGATGATAATCAAAACTCAACTAATTTGTATAATTCCATCTATTTGTTTCATGATTTTCATCCTTCCTGATGGTCGATTTGGTGGAACGTGTTTCCATGGGTATTGTTAAAAAAATGGCACCAGATGGGCCTCGCGAATGAAAACGATCAGAGGGTGTACAAGTGTGTGCTTGTGAAATATATTATTAACCGGGTTTATTTCAACGGATAGGTAAATTGTATCAAGGTGAATCGATGGCTATAGTACCATAGGTGGGGAGGGGGTCAACTTGTCGAAAATTGTAGTGCGTGTGAACCCTAGCTTTGAATCGCATGCTTCTTTTATAGGACAAACTAAAATTAAAGTTGAAGAATGCCCTTCATTAAAGAAGGTCGTCGCATTTCCGGTTAGTAGGGAATAACTGGAATAGCGGCAGCTCACAATCAAGGGTTGCACCTTGGAATTCCTCGAGGGGGCCAAAGTAAAAAGATGGCGATTTATATTTTTCAACTTGGATAGTTTTTAAATGTCAGCTATTTGCCTTTCGAAATTAAAAAAAGCAGAACCATGAAGCCTGAAACTTTTGGATTTTACTTATTTACTTAATCGTAGGGTCGTTGTTCTTGTTGCTAAGGCGATCAGAGGCCAGCAAACTTTCATAATTCCAACGGTAATGCGGCAGAACTTCCTGTCCCACCGTGTGGCTGGTTTTAAAGCTACCGAGTATAATGGAACATATTCGCATATGCGTCAGCTACGTGTCCCTATTTCTTTCTTTCTCTTTTTTTCCATTCCGCATCTGTTACAAGTCCTGTCGTTCTGGTCCCAGTTTCTCTCCCTTATTTTTTTCATTCTCTGCCACAATAACTAGACAATACCTATGATTTTTCCGTGGTGATGATATTGGGCAATGATATCATCTCTTATCATAACTTTAATAGACAGGAGACCGAGAAACCTTTCTACCTCGACTATGTATATTCATAGTATTTAACGCGGATATATTTATAATTTCACTCGTACATAGTCGGTTCATGTCAGAAACTATTCATGGAATCGCTACTTTCGAACATTGTGTAATCAGACTGTGCTTTTTTTTTTTAACTTGTAAAAACGATTACGCGTGGTTCCGCATAAGGGTGACGCAAGACAGCGGAAACGAATTTCCGAAAACACAAACTCTCGGTTATTGGCACGACCGCCAAGTGTTGCTCGGCTTGTTTCGTCAGCGGCGCATAATTTTGGCCCGTCGTCATTTTAGAGACTGGCCTCTTGATCTCCAGAGATAAAGGCAGGGTAAGGTCAGGGATGCCGAGCTTTTTCTCAACGTTCCTGTTCGTCCATAACTTTCATTCAATTTTTATCATTTTTAGATGTACCAATGTTTGAGAAAATCTAACGAAATTTTGTTTATCGATTTCCTTGGAAAGATTCAATTTCATGGTCTCTGGCAAATGGCCACCATCGAATCTCAACGATGTAATTCATGGTTTCGAGTTCACTGTCGATCAAGAGAGAGAGAGGCCACAGGGCCTATAGTACACGGGGTAAAAGGACTCTTGTATCGACGCGATAGAGCTCCGGTACGACGGGGGTCAAAAACCGTAAAGGGGTGGTCATGATCTGATGCAAGGGGTGATGCAAGCAACGATAGAGAGAGAGAGGGTTAGTGGGAGGGCATACTTTCTGCCCTCGCAATATCAGGGTAGCCATGTTGCAAACATTTCTAACGAACAAACCCCTGCAAACATCTCGAGGGCTCGGAACGCTTGAAATATTGTCTGCGAAGCGTTTAGCCAATGTTGACACCCTCGTTACAGATGCAAAATTCAAAGTGACAGGTGTCCCGTTTAATTGTACGCCGTAAAATAAACAAAATTGTTGGTAACGAGTTGCTTAACGCTATGCCAGTAATTTCTTAAGCACGTGACAATTTTGATAGCACAAAAATAATGATAAATTTAGAATGCCGCGGTCACTACCGCGGTTGTGTTGAGCGTCTGTCATAGGGTTAACAAAAATGTAATCGCGGAAGGTTTGTGGCAGACGCGGGGAAAAATTGAAAATATTTCAAATTTGATTAGGGAAAAAATTGTGCGTTTGCCGGGACAAGGGGTGCTAGTTCGATCGACGACGGGAGGTCGCAGTTTATTTAAGAACACGCATACGTCTCTTATTAGTTCGATCGGCAACCCCTCGTAGTGTACGCGCGACTCGCTAGAAGGAGATACGTAATATAACGAGGGGTTCGCGAGACGGGCATAGCCGAGGGTGCGCGACCGTGGCCGACCGCTTCCGAACTCGACCGAACAGGCTCGCGAAGCGATGCAAGCCGCTCGTAGTACGGTTGGTGTGTCCAGTCTCTAGGCAGCCCCCGCCCGTGTCGTGTCGTTATTTCCGTTTCCTTAGTATAGTGTTTAACGCTTTAATTTCTAGTCTCGTGTAACCCTCTTACACATTCACACACGTACACACACACACACACACACACACACACGTAATCACGCTCTCTTCTTTACGTACACATACATTCATACGTCGTACTCCCTTTTTTCTTTTTTACGGTCGACGTATACGAAATTTGGTAGTTTCGGTTTCCGAAAATATTAGACGCAAAACGATTTCCGGCTCTCTGCTCGCAGATACACATATACACACACGCGTACAGACATATGTGCTGGGCAAAGTGAAATCGAAGGACCGTCGACCAGGAGACGAGCATAAATGCCGATTTACGAGCGCTCGCGTCGTACTTTTCTTTCATTGATTTCCCCTTCTGTTCCGGGCGGCGGTGCGAGAGCGTGATAGTAGGTGTACATAAAGAGAGAGAGAAACAGAAAATAGAGAAGACGAGAGACCGGCGCGATCCATCGACGAGACCACGAGAGTAGTCGTGTAGCACAGGCTGTTTGCACGGTGCTCGGTTTCGCGTGCGACCGAAACGTTCGAAGAAAAAGGGAAGCGACGTTTGCGTCGTGAAAACGAAGCACGAGCAAAAGTGTCGCGTCCCGGCGGAAAGTGTTCTCTGTGTCTCTGTGTGCATGTGTGTCGTGTGCTTTCGCGTGCATCGATCGTAAAGTAGAGAAGGTGGCTCCAGATTAAAGAAGTTGGAAAAAGGTAAGCTGGGTAGTTTCGTTCGTTATCATCATCGTCGTTATCCCGGTTTTCCTCTTTCTATTTGTTCGAAACATTCTCGTACGGATGCTGTGCAACCTCGTCCAGAGAGAGATTCGGAGCACGTGCCTCACGAGTTTCATGCCACATTCTCATTCTCACCCTTTGCTTTCTGCGTTCTTTCTCCCTCTCTCGCCCCCACTTTCGGTCACCTTCTCCCCCTCTTTCTTCGATAGCAGGCACGAGCTATTGCGTTTTTGCCTGCTCCCGAGTATATGCGTGCGTGCGAGCCTGTTTTCTCGCGCGGAAAGGGGCGTACGCAAGCGGGAGAGGTTTCCCTTGCTCTCTCTCTCTCTCTCTCTGTCTCGTACGCGCACCGGCGAAAGAAGAGAAAGAGGGGAGATAGCGGGCGACCACGAAAGAGAGAGGGAGAAAACGAGCGAGGCAGGGACCCGAGAAGTCGCGCTCGTATTGATCGGTCCCGGCCACGCGATTTTCACGATCCGTCGCCATGGCCACCTGGCCACCGGCCGAAGATCGTATCTGCCAGCGTACGTGAAAATCGAACTTTAACCCACCCTCACCTTCCTCGTTAAACCCACCTGCTACTTCTGCTACTAATTTCTATCGTCTTTCGAAGTAATCATTGACTAAAGGATTCCTTTAAAGATGGCAAACATTTTTAACTAATCCCTAACTTGAGCGTAGAGAATTTTTGATTCTGGAATTACTCTCGGTCAGTGAACGATACAATATCTCGAGAGTTATCAGTATTATTGTGACATGTGACGCCATATTGATTTTAATTCGCAACTTGATTACGTAAAATTTTATGGTGTCGCTTTTGTCGCCATAATGATATTGATCTTACGATGGAATAATTCAGAAAGATACGGAGATAGGTCAGAAACTTATGATACTCTAAGTAGTATAACCAAATCTTGAGATAACATTGTAGGAGGCAACAACGAGACGGGGTGGAATTAAAAAAAAAAGAATGTAGGGGTAGAAATGGTAGAGATACGTCGGTTCTCTCGATTCTCTTAGATCGGCCGCGAACGAGATCGACTTTTATCGAGCGGTTGCCAAGGGGGGTGGTTTTCAGCATTGTACCGGAACCCCAGTTGCTCGCGTACGCGTGTACACGCAGCCATGCATAACGTCCATTGTCGTACAGATAATGACAGTGTTTCGAAAGTCGCGTTTCGAAGTCAGCAGCGAACGATACTTTTACCGATGTGTTTCTACCGACGACAATGGGGGTCTCTTTCTCGCACTCTCGGCTTCCATTGTGGCGTCCTAAAATATATCGCGATTCCGAGCCGCAGAGAGAGACGCGGATCGATAACTACGGAAGATGCGGGGCTACGATAACCGCAACTCCGACATTTTCTTCGACTGCCCAACGAAACTGCTTATTTTGTTATCCTCGCCTCGATAAGATAAGAATTGATAGAGACTTGAAAGAAAAGGGTTAAACTTAAGGGCACCATCAATGTTTCATCTATCTTTATCTTCTCTTAAGATAGTGGACGATAGTGTTCAGTGTTTAACATTGGAACTACCAAACCAGTCAAAACGACTGGTTTCGAGTTTCTTCTTCTAAATTATAAATTTTATCGAGGTATTTTTGTTGAAATGTATATTAAATTATTTCGGTAGTTCTAGCGTTTAAATTTCTTATCGCAGAAAATTTATCTCGCGTCAGTCGAGATCAGAAGCTAGCATCCCCCCAACTTATCAAGGATCTATCTCCGCAATAAGATCAGTACAGTTACCCTTTGCGAGGGAAGCAAAGGTTGTCGCGTTCGTTTTCAGTGGAATTAATAGTCACCGTCCTAGTTTCTTTCCCATAGTTTGAGTAAGGGGGGCCATGCACGTTCGATGCATATAATAAAAGCTATCTATTATCTGAGAGAACGTGGTCAGTTCGTTTGGGGTGACCACAGTCACGGGACAGAAGAGGTAGTCTGCATGGGGTTGCTGGCCCTAAGGACAGCTGATGATTACGTTGAACGAGTGACAGAGACGACAGGCGGAAGGGAAAGAGAGAATTAAAATGTACACCGGTAGCTCGTGCCGACTGATATATGTGTCGTGGCAGCTGTGTGTATTCTCCTTAACCATGAACACCATCGGCACCCTACGGTCCTTGTCTGTAATTCCCCTTTACCTCTTTCTCTTTCCACTTCGTTCATTTTCTCTCCTTATTCCTCTGCCAGGCACGCGTGCCTACGTATCGGGTGTCTCGAACGAATTGCCTTCATCGATTCGATCTATCCTTTGATTTGTAAGAATTTTTTTCAAAAAATATTGTATGGTATTTGAGCAACCAGCCTTAGGAAGAATCGCGAACGACCTATAAGGGAATCAAAATATTTGTTTAGTTGGTAAAATTGAAAATAGTGATGAAAGATAGAGTTAAAAAGTATCTAATGCTTTCCTCGATCAGAATGAAATGATAAAAGTTGAGAAAAATATTGAACACCCTATAGGTGATTCCAGCGTATCGAGCACGGTGGTTTGTCCGATAGAATGGAAGGGGAAGCACGAGGGAGGGCGAGCCCTTTAAACCAGAACGGGGTTCGTCGCCCCTTTAAATTATCCGCCTTTCTATTGGACCTTACCCTCGCTCCTACCAACCGCCACCACCGCCTGTTCTTTTCACGCTGTGTTTTCAAAGTCATTGTCAGATTACGTCAGCATCCAGTTGCTTGAACCATGAATTTTCGTAAATTGTCCATGACTAAATATAATTCGTTGTCTTCCTTTAAACCCTTTCGACCAAAAAAAAAAAAAGAAAAATGTATAAGTCTAGAAAATTGAAATGCTATCCTTCGATATGACAAATTTTCTTGATTACAGCGAGCAAATTTCAGTTAAACGTTGATAATAGTAAATATTTCTAGGAAAAATGTGTTTGTCGCTACGCTTAACACCTGTATAGGCAAAAACAAAAGGTCCTCTTCTTCCCGGTGTCTTAAACTGCTTGCATCGTCGTGTACACAATGTTTTCGTTTCAACAAACGTTTTTACGTCCTTCAAAAGTCCGTCAACTTCTTACCTGACTAATTGTTTGTTTATAGACGTTTGTTTACTTGACGCGTTCTTCCCGTTCGACTATGGTATGTGTTCCTAATAAACCGATATCGTTCGTTTCGAATTCATTCAACAGCTTTTATCGGTGGTTGTTTGGTCAAGTGGAAGCGGGATATTTAAATAATACTATGGATCCCAAAAGGGTAATAAACGGCAGCTTGTGATCAAAGAAAGTTGCGAGATATGGTTGATAATATCGTGAAATATAGGAAGGATATCAGCGTAAATTCATTGTTTATAAGATGATCAAAGTTGGATTTATTGTTTCAGATTTCGTACGTAGTTAGAAAGGACCCGGTAAAAGAGTGCAATGATGGCGAACGGAATGGACACAGTTGTGCAACAAAACGGTGGATCCAACCTCGGACAGGCGTCGCAGGAAGAGTCGAAGACAAATCTCATTGTAAATTATCTGCCCCAGAGCATGACCCAGGATGAGATTCGTTCACTCTTCTCGAGCATAGGCGAGGTGGAGAGCTGCAAATTGATCCGTGATAAACTCACTGGTAAGTTGAACTTCGAAAATTTCACCCAGGTAAAATCCTCATCACCCGATATTCTGCAGTTGTTTATTTTCTATTGATTGTGCAATATAATGTGACACGAAGGAACTTGCCAGAATCTTTCAGTATAGAGGAGATGGTGTCAATAGTAGATACTGGAGATTGAAAATCATTGACAGACACCTGTCGATGCCAGATGCCGCGAAGGGAGAGATATTGATTTCAAGCTCCTATTTCAGTTGATTTTATCGTATTTCTTTATAACCGTGTTTCTAATTTAATGTAATTGCAATTTTCCTAATAATTAAGAAATTATATGTACACGTAGCGTTGTATGCTAACTATGGGAGTGTAAAAAGATTTGAAAAGCGGATTGCGCAACGGGTTACGTCGATTTTTCTGCAAGGTTAGTTGCATGTTTCGCGAGTACGCATAACATAGCGTAATTTCGCCGAGAGTACACGCGGCTGAATTCCGTGCGTTAGCGGAGAGCACGTGCGTTAACGACGTCGCGACGCTATTTCGAGCGTCGGAGTAGCGGGGGCGTCGAAGCTCCGTCGCTTCATATTCGACCTCATCGTTAGATCCTTCAGGGCCGTATTGCTGTAGTCGGAGCGTTTCCTGTTTTCCAGAAACGTTTGTTGGCCTCTGAATGAACGTTCCCGTTCATAACTTCGACGACGTTGCTTTGTTTTACCCCTTGAGAATCACCCTTTTCTTCGCGTTTCAATGCGGGTTAATTCCAGCATTGTTATTCTTAGTAACCCGGGAACACGGAAGTATTTAACCCTTCGTACATAATATTATTTTTCAAATTATTATTCATCATTCGTCGATTTTTCTATGTTACAGGCCAGAGTTTGGGTTACGGATTCGTAAACTACCACCGGTCTGAGGATGCCGAGAAGGCGATAAACACGCTCAATGGTCTTCGTCTGCAGAACAAAACGATCAAGGTTCGTTCTTGGACTATTTATAATGATTTATAATCATTGCGCTTGATATTTATTCAGAAATAAAATCTCTGCTCCAATTCTACGCGTATATAGTACTACGGTAAGCGCGTTAAGAAGGGAACGGTCACAAATTTCCCGAGATCTTGTTTTAGTTCTAGCCTAATTTTGAAACGTGCACCGAGATGTCTACGCGTCTCGTAACTGTTTGCTTCGTAAACGAATTGGCTGATACTCAGAAACAAAGTATCCACGGTTATTCGGAAAACTGTATTATCTTCGTTAGATCATTATCTATAACGATTCGTAAAACGATCGATGCGTATTCGTCTCTTAAATTTCAAAAAGTATCGTAATCATTGATTTTTTTCTTCAGGTATCGTACGCGAGACCGAGCAGCGAGGCGATCAAAGGTGCAAACCTGTACGTGAGTGGTTTGCCGAAAAACATGACCCAACAGGACCTGGAGAATCTCTTCAGCCCGTACGGCAGAATCATCACGTCTCGGATACTTTGCGACAACATCACTGGTAAGTTATACCGTGCTAATCGAATTAAAGGATTATAATATGATAGATATATAGCACTGTGAGGGGCCTGAATATTCTCAAGATTCGAAGAAATGAAATATCTTCGAAGAAGAGAGAAAGTAACTCGAGACTGTACGTAGTCAGAGTTACAGAGTAAATGGGACGAGTTTCATCATGGAAGTTAGATGAAACCGAGGGTTTGCTCCGAGGTTTTTGAACAGAGTAGGCCATGGGGTTCTCGTACGTTTATGGGGTGGATCGGTGCGCCTACGATCCGAGCGAGAACGAACACACGATCGTGGAACAACGAGCCGAGATTAAAAATCAACTTTTCTTAAACAGCGAATGAAAACAAACACGATTTCGTTCGTCGAGTCGTCTCGAAGCTGCATGATGATTTACGGATCGTTCCTTTTATTTTTATTTCTTTTTTTAAATTTCTTTTTCTCTCTCTCTGTTTACCCGTAGATCAGGCCTGCACAGCAAGTAGTATAGGGAGTAATACGTTTGTGGTGAGATATACTGACAATGAAATTTAATCAAATGGAACAACTTGCTGATCAGGCTTACTACAGGCGCCTAAATTGAAAGCATTAGGAAAATGTATATTAGCGAAGAAATAGAGAGAAGAAATAATCGGTTACCAACAGTTTTCTTTTCGTTCGATGTTACGTTTATTCCTTGGCTCATTATTGTTTTACGTTCTCTGCTTACGTTTCTTGGCAGTCGCATTTTGTTTACATCCCCGGTTTTACGCACAGCCTCATGGCCTATCCAACCCTTTACCATAAAATTTTTCATATCCATATATCTGATTTTTCTTTCTGTTTGATGTATTCATTGCCAACATCCTTGCGACTAACAGACATCGTTTTTGATAATATTCAATTGGCTTTTTCTTATCGTTTCTTTTTAATTGTGTTGTTAATTGGTTTTGTGTCAAAAAGACACTGGTGTTAATCTTTTAAGCAGAAGTAGACGAGTTAATTCCTTCGTTTTGCAAATACATTGGAATTAATGAAATAGTTAATTCTTTTAATTAAAGGGGTTAACTCGTTTAAATGAGAAACAAAGCGAAATCTAATATTGCGTTTTGTTTATTAAGTGTTAAAAAATTGGAACCTTCTCCTTTATTTTTTCCTTCGTTCCTGGTTTGCTTCACCACTTATTCTTACAGCGTTATAACAAATTTTGTTTATTTCCTTTTCTTTTTAAGTGCTTTTCAGTTTACTCCTCTTTGAATATATTTGATTTTGTTGTTTTACGACGAAACGAGTATTCTTGCATACTTAAGGACGAGGAAAGGAATAGCTTAATTTAACAGAAAGCATCGCTCGCCCCTTATTCATCTCATACGATCAATTTCTTTTTTCCTCGACGTAGAAAAAGGATAAAAAGAAATCACTAGAGAGTATGAATTTCGAACAACGAATCTGTTCGATTTTGATTCTATCTGGAACACGTCTTTATTTTTTTTTTTTCCATCGCGAATCCATTATCATTTTATTAACTATTTTTCCTTTAAAATTTAAAATTGACAAGATATTTCTCGAGGAAAAAAGATTCCTTCGACATTCTTTTATTTTATCTCATCTCGGTTATTTTCTATTTCGGTGATTTATTTTCCATTGGGGGTTGTTTTCGCGCTCAACTTGGATCACACGTTACATCTATTCCCGTGGACGAATCAGGGGCGAGCGAATCGTGTATTTCTGCCAGTTTGAATTTTAACGTGATATGATTTTTTCCGTTTCTGTTTAGTACGACAGTTTGTGACCGGCGGCGGAGACTATTTGCCCGGTACGTAACTCATACAATTCTTTTTTCTTTTCCCTTATTACGTCCAACGCTGAAACAAAAGCAGCCGTCTCTTCTTCTTCTTTTTGTTATTATTATTTTCTTGGTTTTTTATTCTGACCTCGTACGCTTATCATTTTAAATTGTACAAAAGATGAATTTTCACAAAAAAAAAAAAGAAAAGAAAAGGGAGCAAATATGAAATCACACTCTACTTTTTCTTTATTTAATCTTAGGTATTTCTTGTTCCTTTACCGGCTGCTTTGTTCATGCGACCACAGCAACAATTACGATCCAAATACGTTTCCTCCCGAGCGCTGTTTTTGTTTCTTTACGCTTTTTGTCGTTAGTTACCAATTATGATTTTTGACGAGCGTGCTGTAGAATTATCTCGTGACGGCACGCGTGGTACATTTAATTAATAAAATCGTCGTTCGTTTCCTTCCGTTTTATTCGACCTCATTCAGCTTTGCGAGATTCGTCTGCGATCACCAGACGAGAGAACTAATTATGCTCGTGAACACGACATCGGTGTAAAGAAACGAATCTGCGCGCACCGAGCCACTCGTTATGCAGAAAACGCTGCAGTCATTTTCTACTCTGTATAGAGAATTCGTCGTTGGTAAAATTACTTGAAAAAAAAGACAGTAAAGTACGAGGTATATTGTCTTTTTTATTTACCAATAAAGAAAATCTAATCAACGAGGAATTCTGTAGCTTGCCGTGTCGATGCCATTAAAAAAATACCCATGGAACTCTGTTAAATAATTTGCAAAACCGATTCCGACAGGATTGTCGAAGGGGGTCGGTTTCATAAGGTTCGACCAACGTGTCGAGGCCGAGAGGGCGATCCAAGAATTAAACGGTACCATTCCGAAGGGCTCGTCCGAGCCGATCACCGTCAAGTTTGCCAACAATCCAAGCAACAACAACAAGGCGATACCGCCGTTGGCCGCCTATCTAGCTCCGCAGGCGACCCGACGATTTGGCGGCCCAATCCACCATCCGACCGGCCGCTTCAGGTACATTCCACTGTCGCCACTATCCAGGTACCTACTCGCCTCTACTCGCTCTACCCAAAAATCTTTCTTTCTTTCTTAATCTTTCTTCCATTCTCTTTTATTTCCTTTTATTCTCGTTTCGTTTATCATTCTCTCTCTTGGCTCTGACAGAGAGGGTCGAAGGTATCTATCAACTGGAAAGTAAAACTAGCGTTGGAACTTGTTGAAAGTCATTCTCGAAATCCTTTCGATAATTTCTTCTGCGAACTTTTACTTTCAAGTGGATACATACCCCTATGAACTGGATGAGATTTCTCTTTCTTTTTCATTTTGAACGAAATTGAACTTAAGATATCAGGCAACAATGAGCGTAAATAAATAGTAGAATATTAGTTAAGAATGATTTAGGTATTTCGTCTGTTGAATGGATTTAATAATTTTAAATCTGTTTCGTCGAAACATCAGCGACTGATATTCTATGGGTTTTTATACACCCATTGTCAGCTATCTTTTAAGCTTAATTTCTTTCAGAAACGCATTCATCCGATTCGTTGCTTTTCCTTGAAAAGTTTCATTTGGTTCCTTAAGTTCCCTTCTGTCTCGTTCAATAGACACTCCGAACACGTATGTTCTGAGATCGATCGATCGATGGTAACCTGGATTTTCTGATCAAATTAGAATTTCAATATTGCCATATTTCAGAAGAAGATCGCTCGATCGATCCACCTTTTATATCTTTTTCCTTGTTTACGCACTCACCGTTTGAGTACCTGAGTACACTGCAGGCTCCTCCTTCTGCACCTCATCTACCATACTTCTCACCTTGTCATTTTTTTTTTCTAACTTTTTTTATTCCTTTCGACGAGTTTCATTTGTACCCATGCATGCATCTTCATCGTGTTCAGAATCATTATTCCAGAACTTTTAAAAGCACATCTTTCATCGAATCTTTGGTTCGCGTAGCTTTTCTGTTTGTACCTCGAAGAACAGTCATTACGACCTTATATTTCGTGAGATTTTAAAATTGACACCCCCGCGAGTAGCAGTTGAATTTAAACCTTGCGAAATTTTCATTTCACTCTGCTAAAAAAAAGAAGAGTGTAATAAAATTACACAAGTAGGGTATATAGCATTGGAACATTGGAAGGAAGCCTTTCAATCGAGTCGAAGGATCGATGTTTCGATATCAATATTTCAGTGGGGTGACACAAGGCGAAACACCCGTCTATTTTGCCTTAATCCAATCAGAATGTGAAAGAAATTACAACGTCGATTACGAATATTGTCGTCTGATTTTTCTTCGAGTTATAATTATCAACCTATAACACTTTTCTTTATTGATAATATTCTTTCTTGAAACTTTTCTTTTATTTAATCCATCCCTCTTGATGTATCCTATCCATAATCCCCTTTTTCCTTATATACGAGTGGTACAAGGTGGTCTCTAAGAATAGATATTAATTAATTAGATATAAGTGGTTAGTTTTACCAAGGATCGCGTTGATTAAGCGACCGCGCGAAAGACTGATCCTTGACCACTCTGGAAACATGGAGGAGCAAGGCACACACAAACGTTCTGTTATTTCTGTAAGTTTTCTTGGTTTTCTATCTTCGTCGTCCACGGTAAGATGGTTATTACTTTAATATTATTTATCCTTTTGCGGTCCGTTAATCCCGTACCGTACGGTTAGTTTATTTCAAAACAATAAGTAAAGAATAATAAAGCAGTATCTATTATACTTTTCCGTTTCCGTCGTATTGACATTATTTATTGATACCGTATACAATAATATTTAATAATTTGATTATCATTTCCTATTGTATGATATGTAGTAACGCTGAAAGTTTTGAGAATGGTACATGATAAATGTTATCTTTCATTTCTGAATTTATAATTTTCAAAACTTTCAGGGTAGCTGAAAGTTCAACAATTACATTTATCTCAACAGCTCAACGTACTTGACACTTTGAGTGGCATGTTAAAATTGTCAAAGATCCCTTCGCAATATATGCCATTCAAAATGTTAATGTAAATTAACAACGATCTACCTGTAAGAAGACACACCAAGACCGCAAAAGGCAATCTAATATTTGATTCGTAAAAAAAAAAAAATATTTCATTTTTGAAATTATTACCGTGGATACGAAGTTAACGAGTTCGACGGTAATTGAGAATATATTGAAAATAAGAAAGAAAAAATTAATAATTTTCATCATTTTTTTGACGATGAAAATATAAAGCGTATTTTATGTCCGTCTGTATGTCCTAATTAAATTGTAACCGAGACCGGAAATATCGACGATGAGAATCGACGTTCAATCGATCGAAGATTCGACGATATTTGAATTATATCGATTGAAAAGTAGATTTATTGCGCTTCGCTTTCGCTTGCCTCTATTATTTGTAATTCTTAAATTTTCTCCATTAAGTCGAGTCGCTGCAATTATGATTTTACGCTTCCTTACAACCCGGTTGATCCCTCTTTAAATAGATCGCCTATAATTAATTATTATCAGCTCTTCAGCGCAAAGGGTTAATTCTTTTTGTCAATTAAATTCAAGAGCCCTTTTTCAGTTTTGATCTTTTTTATCTTTCTGTTTCTTTTATTGCCTATTTATTTCACGATGAGAAAAGAAAACAGAGAGGCACCATAGATGGTAGTTCCGTGAATCAAAAAGATTTTTGTTTTTTTTTTTTTGTAAAAATGGAAGCACAAGGAAGCGACCGACATTTATCCCGACTTTTTTGGCTCGTTCCCGAACTCTCTTTTCTTACGTTGTTCTTTTGTGTTTTGTTTTAGCACTGGCAAGGCCGTGCTTGCCATTAACAAAGGCTTACAGAGGTCAGTATTTTTTTCGTTACTATCACTACGTTTCCTCCCGGTTTTTCTTTTTCGTTTCGATACCATTGATTTCCTCTAATCCGCGTCGCTTCGTTTTTCCGCACAAAAATAATACACGCTTCGCGTTTCTCCAGCTTTGAGATTTTTCAGTGGAAATTTGACGATAGAAAATTGACGTACCCGAATCGATTCGGATGTAAAAAAAAAAAACACAATTGATTCCCTTCAATTTTCTGTCCTTTTTTCTTATCGTTAGTTCCTTTCAAAACATTGTTCTGTTTTTTCTTTCATTTATCTTATCTATGCTATGCTTAGAGGTTCACTTTTGCATAAAAAATAAAGGATTTTGAGCAATCTATCAGTTTTTCTTGTTAATTAAATTTTATATGAAACGCATTAGAGAAGCTTTATTTATTTCGTTCGTTAGCTTTGATGCTTCCACCATGAAACAGAAATTAATAATTAAAATTTAATGGACTGTACAGACGGATCTCGATCAATTTTTCGAAAAGAAAAGAAAAAAGGGAACAAAAAAGAAAAACTCTCGCGATGGTTACTGAAACCATGCGTATCGATTCGTTCGAGAAATTCCAATTCGAATGAACGTTTCTCGATCAGGCGCCGCACTTTTCTTCTCCCTCTTCACCGTTTCATTTCTTCTTCCGTTGTTTCACCTTCGTCGGTCGTGTTTGACCCGAGACCGTGCACCTGCTGCGTCTACTTGGTCTCTGACGATCGATCACATCGAGTGACAAATCTGAACGCTTTAATTGATTTTGCGCACGAGCTTTCACGATTCACCTACGTACACCATAATACATAGAGAACACTGATTGAAGGTAGAACAACGAGATCTTAGTGTAGATACACGAATGTCACGTTTCACTGATTGTTGGTGTAGAGCTGAGAGCGAGGCTAGGTGCACGATCTCACTACGAGAAAATAAACTTACGTGTTGTATAGAATTTTCAGTACGCCATGAAAATGATGGATTCATCGGGTTAAAGTAAATCGAAAAGTCCTTTACCGTTTTGCGATTCGAGGCTCTGAGCCGGAGATATAAGCGATCGAATTTTCCGTCCTCCACTTCCGGGGTGTTCAGCGGACCGGAAGTAGGGCGAACTCATCTTTGATCATTTGTATCTTGAGAACGAAGGGTCCGATTGAAAAACGGTAAAAGACTTTTCGATATGTTTCATCACGAAGAATTTATAATTTCCATGGTGTTTAGTGTTTATGGTTTCTGAAAAAATCTTATACGCCTAACTGGTGGTACAATGGAAATAGTACTATTTCCCCTGTGTAAATGTAAGTCAAAAATTTATATTTGCAAATTATCAAAGAAAGAGATAAGGTAGAAGACGAAAAGGTACTCGTAGATGAAAAATGGAGGTTCAGTTTACGCGTGATTAAAGAAAATCATTTTAATGAAAAACCGTGTATATATGTATGTGTGCGTGTGTAAAAATACGCGATACCTAACGAATACTATATATATATATACGCAAATTACTATCACCTCGACCCTGTACTGAATACTCACTGAGATGTGCCCTGTTTTAACGCGGCTTGTGACGCCAAGTAGGTACGTAGATACATTTTTACATCTGTAAATATTTCCCTCATCCGTTTTATATCAATGTTTATGCAATTCGTGCATGCCGATTAAACGAGCGAGTGCATGCGAATTTCCTTGAGTTTTTCTTTCGGCGAGTATACACAAAAATAGATTAAATTCAGTGGAAACATTACAAAATCGACGCGTAACAACCTTCTAACATTCCTTTCGACACGCGATACTCGTTTAGAAAGCTTCCGCGTAGAGTTTCGTTTGCAATTATTTATTTGATAAGCATGATACGATTCGTGAGCCGTGTGTGAAATTAATTTTTCACGAAATCGAAGATCTTTAATTAATTCATTTAATGTAATTAATTCGATTGTGGCGCGTTACATTTATTGAAATTCGTTGCACTCAAACTCTTCGTCTAGGAGTTCAAAAAATGATTATTATCGTTTCTCTTTTCATTAACATCGTATTACTTGCAAGTACACGCGAATACTTTCGGTGAAGAGAGCATTTATATACATCATAAATTGAAAACTATCGAGCAATGTTAATTACCAAGCCACGTTGTCGATGCATCAAGTTTCCACTAATTGATCGCGTATACAAAATGAAAAATGCACGACAGCGTAGCTAGTTTAATTAAAACTAAAGAAAATGAACGCAGAACGTTTGCCCTCGATCGCGCGAGGCGTCCCGTATATGTCGAGGGAAAGAACAGAAGAAACACAATTTTTCGTCGATGGTCGAACGTTTTGACGGATTGGAACCGGATGTTGCAGGTACAGTCCGTTGGCAGGCGATCTCTTGGCGAACTCGATGCTGCCTGGGAACGCGATGAACGGGTCTGGTTGGTGCATCTTCGTTTACAATCTCGCCCCGGAGACCGAGGAGAACGTGCTGTGGCAGTTATTCGGTCCCTTCGGCGCCGTCCAATCTGTCAAAGTGATCCGCGACCTGCAGACGAACAAGTGCAAAGGCTTTGGTTTCGTGACGATGACCAACTACGACGAGGCGGTGGTCGCAATCCAGAGCTTGAACGGTTACACGCTCGGTAACCGGGTCCTTCAAGTGAGCTTCAAGACGAACAAGAGCAAAGCGGCGTAGGACGACAAGCAACAACAGCTAACAACAACAACAACAACAACAACAGCAGCAACCGCATCACCAGGAACAGTGGCCACGGCTACGGCCGTGATCACACCGTCAGTGGCTAAGCCCGTTGTCGCCACTCCAGCTTCATCTTCAGCTCCCATTTCCGCTTCCGCGGCACTAGTCACACTCGCGGCTGCCTCTGCTTCCGCTAAGAAGATCGTCGACCATCGTCTGCCTATCGTGATCAATGCTCTGAACAATCGTTACCGTCGACAGATCCAACAGCGTCAGATACAATTACAGTTACAACTGCAACAACACCAGTTACAGCTACAGTTGCAATTGCAACAACAGCAATTACAATATCGGAAATGTATGAACAGCTGTAGAATGATGATCAGGAAATTGGCCTCGTTCAACTACCACGACGAGGACGATGGATGCAGTTCCGATTGATGAAGGAGACTGACTGACAGACACCTCCCTGGTGGACGGAAGGGACGGAGAGAGTTTAACCGTGTGCATGAACGAGCGTGTGAGCGAAGGAGAGATAACGAAGGTTTGAAGAGAAAGTATCAGAGTGTAAGAAGAGAGAAAGAGAAAGAGAGAGAAATGGTAGGTCTTGATACGCCAAAATCGTCCGATTATCCTAACTTTGTAGACCACGAGACCCGATCAAGATGAACAAGGAAGATGAATGACTCTTCCTTTTCTACCTGATCCCCTCCTCTCTTTCTCTGTTCGCTCTAATTATTTTCTTTCGGTATTCGTCGACGAGCCAGGGGAAACGCGAGGTGTCCCTTCCGTTTCTCACGCGACCCTTTGTAGTCGCGCTATCGACGAGACCCGTCAACTGCAAAAAAAGAAAAATGAAGAAAACAAAAAAGAACAAACGGTAAAAAGTAGAGTGGGTTTCGCACACCGCATCCCAGTCTTGTATATACGTATTGCTGATTTATGTATATGTACGCGGGCGCACGGACCACGTGGTGTGCGTATATTCAAGCAGATCGATACACGAAAAGGGATGGAGAAAAAGATTGTACGACCATCGAGCTGCAATGACGTCATTAGCGAGGGTGGTCCTCGATCGCAGTTTCTTATTCTTATTCTTATCCGCACCGACCAAAGAGTCTCGACGATGTCAGGCTGTGAGACTGAAAACGGAAACTCGAGAGGCTAAATCGAAATAAGAAAGAAAGGCAGGGCCTGATTTTTTTTTTTCCCCCAAAAGACGACAAACGCCTCGCGTTTTCCCGACTTTTTCACGCGATCAAAGAATAGCAGAAGGGAACGAGGGTGAGGAGGGTCCCCAATGCCAAGGGAACAGTGCGTAGTAGTAGGTGGTTGTAGGTTCGGGGTATGTTTGAGGAGAAATAGAGAGAGAGAGAGAGAGAAAGAAAGAAAGGAGAGACGTAAGCCGTGAGAAAAAACGGGACGAGGACGATCGATCAGATCGGAAGATGACGAAATAGCTCTCTGGTAGAGACAGAATTACTGGTCCCATCGCTGTGACGCACAGCAAAATTTTGACGAGAATGAGAGGTAATCGTCGGCGCGGACGCGGATAGTTCAGAGAGCCAGTGAGACTTGACGTACTTAAAAACGTAGAAACTTCTAATCCGTAGTTGAATTAAGAAAGACGTCGCCGTTCGACGAGTAACCCGAAAGACGAAGTATGTTAATTTACCTATTTAAGGAGATATTTTAGGGCTTAACGATGCGAGTCGTGATGCAAGATCGTGGCACCCGACCTAAGGGATTACGTGATTCGTAACGTAACAGTAACAGTTAACTTTAAAAAGCAACGCAAGGCGTTCAACATTATTTGCTAGTCAAGCTCTTGTACTTCTCTGTCGGTTGCCCAAAGAACCCATGTCATTTGTTTACCTATGTAAACGAAATTTTCCTTTCCCTCTTCTTCTTCTTCTTCTTTTTATTTTTTCTTTTTTCTTTTTTTTTTTACGTACACGTGTAAGAGATCTTAGCTAGTACAAAGTGCTTTCTTGAGCGCAGTCTGATTTTATCGAGTCCCTTGAATGTGCACCGTTCGCGACAGGGCTTTTAATTATTAATTACATCGTTAACACCAGTCCGTGTCGCGGCTCATAACTCCGATGCTTTTTTTTTTCTTCTTTTTAAGTAAAACATAAGAAGAAGAAACAAACCAAGTCTAACGTACAAAAAAATACTTACTATAGACGAAAGAATTAGAGACTGTTGTTTCTATGATCTTACACGAGAAAAACATGATAAGAGAAGGAATCGTAGTCCCAAGACGGTGCACCATTATGTGATACACAGATCGACGAACGATCTAGCGAACGATTTACCAATCTTCGTAACACGTGTCTAGTCTACATACAAAATTAAAAATTAAAAACAGCTGGGGAGTGAACGAGAAACGGTTTATTCTAAGACCAGTATCAGGGATGAGACACGATTCGTAAGAGGGCGCGTTTTTAGGTGGTACGATGTGTTGTTTGTAAGGTAAATAGACAAAACCGATTCGCTCGTGCTGATTCACGAAGAAAATTCCATTTCTCTGGATGTACATCGAAGCAAGAAGGTAATATATCAGAATCCTGATAAACAAATTTGAAATGTAATATTGCTGTCTCAAGCAGCCACGGTTCGAAATTGAAAATTTCATAATCTGTATGAGTTACAACAAAAGAAGAAGGTTATTTATATCTTGAAGAATTGTTGAAATGTAGATTACTGTCAAGTTTTTAATTTTGTACCTCTGCAAAAAATGTAATACCATGTTTCAAACGTGTTTATTTGAATTTTTCATTGTTACATTATTGCTAAAGTGTCTGCACTTCCTCTGAAAGGTACGCTACACTCGATCAACAAAATCATCTATTTATTTCCTCATTTTTTTTTCTCGAAACGTTTATGATTTTGTGGTGAGAAGTGTGGTAGGGATTCTTTCGTAGCATAAGCGAACACGGACCTGTGTAAGTACTTAATCGTGAGTAAAGCGACAATTTCTTAAGCTGTTAGGTTTAGTCACGCGGAAAAAAAAAAACAATGAAAAAGCGTAGCATATATATATATATATATATACATATACATATATGTTGTCCTATTTATGTGTACCTTTTGTGTCTAGTCCGGGAGCAACAGGCAGTCTGATCGTCCAAAGCGCGGACGCTCCACAGGAGCGCGACGACCACTGTCCATACCTCCCAAAACGTAATTTTTTGAGCCACAATCAGACAAATGGTTTCTGATAAGATTTTATTTTATTTATTCAAACCTCGAGATTCGTTTCACGATCGCGCGACCATACGATTGACACGTTGATTGCCATTTTGGGGCGGAGATCATTAGCGAATTACTTAACCCTAATCATTACTGTACGAAACTTAAATATTGAAATACTAGGGAAGTTAATTAGAAGAAAGAAAAGAAAACTCGCAGGTGTAGATTTTTCTACTGTGGCAGGTAACGTGTTGAAAGAAAATCGATAGAGTCGTTTGACGATCGAAGACCTATTCTCGAGGTATAAACAGGATCTCGATGATTAGTGCAAATTATCACACCGTCGGCTGGGATACAATGACGTAGACGTCACCGAGAAGAAATTCCATTGCAACGATTCGTCCCTCGTTTAATTAGGTGGTTCGAAAGTGAGATTTTCAACCCTTTAAGTACAGAGTGGATCTTTGCACCATTGACATAAACAATTCATTTATTAATTCTAAACGGATATATACATTTTTGACAATTTTTGCTGATCGCCTATATCCGTCTGTAATACCGTAAGGGTTAAAAGAATTATTCTGAAGAACAAGGGGCGAATCGTAGAAAAGAAAAAAATTTCTTACAGCCGCGTGTACGCAATCGCATAATTATAAAAGAATTAATCTCCTTCTCATAATTATCACCTATATTATTACACTTATTATTATTACTATTATTATTATTCTGGTTATTATTATTATTATTATTATTACCATCGTCATCGCCATTATTATTATTACTATTATTATCATTGCTATTATTAATTATGGTCGTATATATATATATTTTTTGTGTCTAGTAGCTACGTATAAAACCTTAACAAACTTTATTACTATTTAATTTCGTACCACTATGAAAATGAAAGAAACGAGAGAAAAAAGTCTTAATCACTTAATTTAACATCTACTACCACCGTTACTTTTTTCTATTCACCCTCCCCTCTTTATAACTACTCGCTGCTATAACTATTACTACTTACTACTACTACTACTGCTACTACTACTACTACCACCACTGCTACTACTGCTACTATTACTACTTACTATTTACTATTACTACCGATTATTTATTTATTTATTTAATTATTATATAACATAACAGAAATTATGTTTTATTTAAGGATTAAACTGATTTGTGTTTGGTTCAAATACGTCGTTCGTTTTATTTCGATTACTTGTTTCAGTTGCCACCAGCATCCCGATTACCATCGTTTGATACATCAACATGTCTACGTATATATTGATTCACGAGAGTTTCCGAACATAACAGAAGCATATAACATGGCTGAAACGCTCGAGAGTTTGTATATATACCATCCATCCTGAAATCTTCCCCGAAACTCCTCGTTCTTCAGACTGATGTGTAATAGATTTACTGGACTATTTGCTGCATGCTCTTCGATCGTGGTTCGTAACATTTCTATTATTATCACTATTCCGTGGGCGACGGTGTGGAATTCCGCGACAGCACTTTTCGAAAAATCGCAAATGCCAATGCAAGAATCTAAAATTTCATCGTCGCCCACGGAAACATGGCTAGTAGAAATCGCTACAAGGTTCGCGATGATTCTCTGTGCAATAGAGAAATTATTTAACAAATCTTTACGATCGATTTACGACGAAAAGGGTTTGATATACAAGGCGATCGACAAACGTAAAGGTTCGTTCACGTTCTTTCGAGCTCGTAATTGCTCGGAAATAATTGATTTGATTAGACAAGAACTCGAGATAAAAATGATTCGAGTAAAGAGAGAAAGTGAATGGTACCACCACGTTAATCTACTTGAACTATACAAGTATATTATCACACAATTATTAATTTAGATATGCATTATTATGTATATTGTATTTATGTCCCAATTAATCGTTGTTAGTTATACGGGTAAGATGATAATGAGTGTTTGTTATCG